CGTGTTCCTCCCTAGTTGGCTAGTTCTGTATTGATCTTACTGAGTGCTATAAATCTGTGTCTTGATTACTGAGTTTCTGTCTAAAACTCTCTTTCTATGGATCCGAGACTTCAACAAGCTGGAAGAATCGATGAACTGTATGCTCTGATTGATGAGAATCCGTACATGCTTGAGAACATCGATGCTGTGCCATTTGTTAACACTCCCCTCCACGTAGCTGCAGCTTCTGGGAACATACCATTCGCCATGGAGATGCTGAATCTTAAGCCCTCTTTTTCCAGGAAACGCAGATCTTGTGGCAGAGTGCCTCTTTTACTTCCCCTGAATGTATCAAAGATGTGAGCGTGAAGTTGGAGAATGCTCTGCATCTTGCTGTGATAAATAATAGATTTGAAGTTCTCCAAGTCCTCACTGGTTGGATCCAGAGAACGATGTATAAGAATGATCATCAGGCATGTTTTATTTTCTTCAGTTCTTTTCTATAATACTAAAAATAAAAGCTCTCGAATGATTTGTGAGATTCCTAAAACAACCTTTATACATTTAAGATATGAGTTTCCAAAATATGATGATCTATTTTTTTTGTAGGCGGTTAAATTGTTACTAGAATGTCGGTCGGTGTTGCGGAACAAAGTAAATGGTGCTGGTTTAACATTTTTCCTTTATTTCTTATGATGGAAGTTTTCATAGGCCTAAGGTTGAGCCATTGGAAGGCAGCGGCGTCTCTTTTGGAAGGATTGATGCAACATTTGCCACTTTACTAAAACAGAGAAAGACTTTTGTCTTCAAAGACAATCTCCTCTTGACTTTGAGTGTAATGTAAATAAGAGATTATTAAGTCATAAAGTGTCTTTAATATTAATGGGCAAGCACTGATTGGTAAAATGGCGAGTGGTAGGAAGCTCTTTAGGACCCACTTGTTGTAAGTAAATATGGAAATAATTAAGCCATCCATGAGAATGTTCAATGGTTCTTTCTTGCTTTGAGTCTTCCTGGTAAAACTCCCCAAGGTAGTCACTTTCTTTTGTTATATAAACAGTGTTCCTTTCTACTTCTGCTACCCTCTTGTTGAAACAGTGTTCCTCTCTCTCTCGCTATGGATCCAAGACTTCAACAGTCTGCCGAATCCGGTAACATCAATGACTTTTATGCTTTGATTGATGAGAATCCGCGCATACTAGAGAACATCGATACCTTGCCATTTGTGAACACTCCCTTTCACATAGCTGCGGCTTCTGGGAAAATAGCATTTGCTGTAGAGATGCTGAATCTTAAGCCATCCTTTGCAAGAAAGCTGAACACATATGGGTACAGTCCACTGCACCTTGCTGTGGAAAAGAAACAAGAAGATTTCGTCACTTGGCTGCTCAGGCTTGATCCCGGCCTTGCTCGCGTTAAAGGTAGAGAAGGCATCACTCTTTTCCATCTCCTAGTGTTGAGAGGTTACGTTGATCTTGTTGTAGAGTGCCTCATAACTTCCCCTGAATGTATCCAAGATGTGACCGTGAATGGCCAAAATGCTCTGCATCTTGCTGTGATGAATGATAGATTTGAAGCTCTCCAAGTTCTGACCGGATGGATCCAGAGAATGAGCCAAAGAAACGCTCGCTCTATCGAGTATGCTGTTCTGAATCAAAAGGATTTAACCGACAACACGGCTTTGCACCTTGCAGCATATAAGAATGATCATCAGGCATGCTTTTGTTTTCCTTCAATTTTCTCTTTTTATATCAGCCAAATTGGTGACTTGTGTGAATGTTCCATTCTATGCAGGTGGTGAGACTGTTGCTAGAATGTCGGATGGTGCTACGGAACGAAGTAAATGGTGATGGTTTAACATTCCTTGATATCTTAAGAACACATGGACAAATCGATGAAGGTGGAGACTTGGAGCAAGTTGCTCTAAAAACCGGGTGCAAGGAAGCAGCTTATCTTCCCAAAATGACGAAAACGTATGATTTCTTCAAATCACCTATCACATTTTGGACCTATTGCTCCACGCACACTAGACGCATAAGCTACGACACTTCAGACGAAGCTCGTGGAGTCTTTTTGATTATATGCACTTTGCTAATCACAGCCACTTACCAAACCGCTCTCCAGCCTCCGGGAGGTGTAAACCAAACCGAGGGTCGTGCGGTGATGAAACAGACATTCTTCATCTTCCTATGGGTTTCTAACACTATAGGCTTTTGCTGTGCTATATTCTACACCTTTTGTCTCTTACCAGCTAGAGGTTTGTTGACATTATGGTTCTTTTATATAGGAGCGTCTCTTTGCGTTTCTTACGCGCTAGCAATGGCTGTAATCTCACCGCAACCATTAGTGTTTCTCTCCGCGTGCTTTGCCTTGTACCTTCTTTTTCCTTTCTATGTTTTGATGGAAGTTTTTGTGAGGCAATGGCGTAGACATCAGACAGTAGCACCTGATCCAGGATTTAGCTGGTTTTGGAAGGTTTGATGATACAACATTTGTCACCTTAAAGCCATGTCCCTTGTGAGATTTGATTGTACTAATGTTCCATTTTGTACTTAATTGGCTTTCTATGTACATGTTAGTAATGTAATAATGTTTTAAGGAAGAACAATTAGCTGCAACAATTAGCTCCACGTAGCTGCAGCTTCCGGGAACATACCATTCGCCATGGAAATGCTAAATCTTAAAAGAAAGCTGAACACAAACGGATACAGTCCATTGCATCTTGCTGTGGAAAAAGATCATAGAGAGTTCATAAGATGGCTTCTCTGGCTTGATCCCGGACTTGCTCGTGTTAAAGGAAGAGAAGGCATCACGCCTTTCCATCTCATAGCGGTAAAAGGAGTTGCAAATCTTGTGGCAGAGTGTCATGTCTTGCCCTGAATGTATCCGAGATGTGAGTGTGAATGGTCATAATGCTCTTCACCTTGCTGTAATGGATGATAGATTTGAAGTTCTCCAAATCATAACCTGTTGGATCCAAAGAATGAGCCAAAGAGATTCCGCTTCAACCGAGTCTGATATCTTGAATAGAAAAGATTTATCTCAAAACACGTCTCTGCATCTTGCAGCATATCAAGAAGATCATCAGGCATGGTTCCCAAAGCTCATTTTTCTCCGGTTTTTGAATGATCTATATTTTGTGTCATAATTGGGCTGATTGTAGGATATATGTATGCAGGCAGTGAAACTGTTGTTAAAATGTAAGCTGGTTTAACATTCCTTGATATCTTAAGAAACCAAGAACAGGGTAGAGACTTGGATTTGGAGCAACTTGTTGTAAAAACCGGGTGCAAGGAGAAAACGTCTGATCACTTTAAGTCACCAATCACTTTCTGGACTCATTGCTCCATTGGCATCAGACGCCTAAGGTCCGACACTTCAGAAGAAGGCCGTGCAGTCTTCTTGATCATATGTACTTTGATAATTACATCCACTTATCAAACCGCTCTCCAGCCTCCCGGAGGTGTTCACCAATCCGAGAATGAGAATGGTGGTTCCGCGGTGATGAAACAGACATTCTTCATCGTCCTGTGGATTTCCAACACTATAGGCTTCTGTTGCGCTCTACTCTACACATTGTCTCCTCCCACTCAGTAGCTTGTTTACGACATGGTTCTTTTGGATCGGGGCATCTCTGGGAGTTTCTTATGCGCTCACTATGGCTGTAATCTCACCAAACCCTCTATTGTTTCTCTGCGCAGCCTTCGCCTTATACCTGCTCGTTCCTATGTATCTCTTGGTGGAAATTTTCATAGCCACGAGGCTGAGCCATCTAAAGGCTGGCAGTAACTCGAAGGTTAGTAACATCTCTGAAACAGAGAGGACTTTGAGAATGCAAATAGAGAGGACCTTTCAACATATTGTTATTGAATGTAATGTAATCAACACTTTATGAGTCATAGTTGTAAAGTAAATTTCTGAGACAAGGAAGAAGAAACTAATTGACATAAACCAGGAGTGCTTAAAAACAGAGAATTTTTTCAGAAACATAACGCAAATTAGTCACAGCATTTAGACATTTAACAGCAAAATCAAAGAAAGAAAAAGAAAAAAAAGAGACATTACTAACTGTAAGATGTCTCAATCCGATTACGACTACACAATCAAAAGCCTTCGTCTTCTCCAATCTAAACACTTGTTCTGTCTTCTGTTCAACTGTGAATACTTTCTCCTCTTTCACAGTCCCTAATTTTATCACCTGTCAAGCTTTGATTTTCTTGTTGGTACTGCAACTGGGGCATTTGTAGTGTTTGATGTGCTCAGCCTTTGCGGGTGTGATCTTCACGCATTTTCCATGGAACCATTTCTCACAAGCATCGCAGCATATCCAGAACTCATCTCCTCCATAGTTGTCTCCACACGCGCCACAAACCGCACCTTGTTCGTCATCTTCCTCATCATCTCCGCTGTCATCTTCTTCTCTTGGTGGTGGAGACATCTTTGAAGCCTTAGTGTGAGACTCGGAATGACGAGGCTGCATGATAAATCACAAAGGAGTAAACAGAGATAAGAACCCATCAAAGATACACAAGAGACAACAAAAATGGAGAAAACAGAAGCTTCTACCTTGCCACCGCTAGATTTGCTTTTGCTACTGTTGTGGTTAGCCAATTGATCCTTGGATTGCTTTGGATTGCCAGTTACAACCTCGAAAATGGTTGGGAGATCATTTATCATCTGGAAGAGCCTCTTCCTGAAAAGAATTAATAAGCTCAGAGGTAAGACAACTAAACTGTTTGGCTTTTACAATATCAGAAACAAACACTAATCTTTGACTGTTCAATAAACTTGAATTCAAGAGAAGAACTAGAGGGTCACATGAACTTTGAAATTTATATATCTCAATGAAATTGATTCAGCTTGGTGTGATTCACAACACTTGTGGGTTCACTTCTCTCTATTGAAGTAAAGGATATATAAAATGAAAAATCATTTCTTTTAGAGTTTTTTCACAGATAACTTGAGTTTATAGGTGTACCAGAGATTGCTACTATCACATCAACAACAATTACGTGGAGATACGATGCTAGAACTTTGTAGCTACCATATGGTCACTGTAGCTTTACCAGTATACAAGCAAAGTAAACATAGAACACTGAGCAGAGAAGGAATCTTACCTCTCATTCTTCCCAAATCCGAAACGTGCTCCAAAGTAAAATGCAACAGAGATAAGCCATGAATCACTGTGAACCGCAACCAAAGATATCCAGTCTTTTTCTTGCATTCCGTCCCTTGCGAAATTGATACCTAACGCTGGCTCAGGAAGCTCAGGAGGGACCTCCTCGACAGGGAGATTAACCTCCCATGTCTCGTTTGGAAGTCCATAAAGACACAAGTTTTCCTTATCTGTATATAAATAAACACAGAATTACCCTAAGAAGAGAAACCACATAGAGAACTAACTTCATCTTAGCTACAAACATGCAGAAACTCACAAACACTTAAAAATCTAAAACCTGTAAACGAAAGATCAGTGGACAAACTCATCAAGCAAAAAAATGCATTTTCCCATCACAAATTCTTCCCCTAATTCAGTCCACGAAGCGATTCTTGCACTGAAAACAGTATAATCTCAACACTACTTCAAACGATAAACACTTTGTTGAAACCATCAATACGCTACGAAGTTATACAAGGTCACGAATTAACTAACCAGGGTCACACTGGTTGTAAAACTTCTGTACATCTGCAAAAACAAAACACACACAAGAACAACAAAAATGAGTACACAGAGAATCGTCAAATCCCAGCAAAAGAAAAACCAAGAACATGAACAAGAAACCCAAAATTGTTGGTTTTTCTCAGAAATTGAAGAAAACCCAATTGAACAAACATAAAAAATCGCAAATCTATACAGCACACAGTGTTCATTGCTTATCCTCTCAGAAACAAATTAGCTTTAGATTCGACCAAAAGAAACAAAGAATCTAC